GAGCTTTTGGGGAAGTATTTGTTGCTAAATGGAAATATGATGGACAAGAATATGCGGTTAAGAAAATAAGATTTGAAAGTAATTTAATAATATTTATATATATTTAATATAACTATTGTAGCATTACAATGTATTATACTGTATTTGAAAATAATGTTTGGTAAAATATCAAATTATTACTGATTATCACAATTAATACATTTATAGGTGATAACAATTTACGGGAATGTATGCAAGAAATGCAAAAAGTGATAAAAGTTAGGTCAGAATATTGTGTCAAATATATGAGTCAATGGAATGAAAACAAAATTTATTACATTCGTATGGAGTTGTGTTCCGATAGTCTGCAGAATATTCTTCAACATAAACCAAAGTCACATAATTTAAAAAACCTGCCATTCCTTACAGTCTTCGCCACTAATATATTGTCGGAAAAATAATACTAATAATAGTCATAAATTCAGTTACAGATAATGTGAGATCTAATATTAGGTTTTTAATAAGGATGCCAGGTGAAATATTTCATAAATTTAACTTTAAATACTTCAGTTTCACTGAAATATTCACCTGAAAATAAATTTCAATAAATACCCCAAAATGATACATTCAGCGGGAAAGTCAAATAAATATGAAAAGCGATTTTATCGAAATAGCATTATGAAATAGTATCCGTAAGTCTTTGCATTTGTTATCACATCTAATGGTAAGCATTGAGTTTTGATGAGGTCTTAGGCACTGATGTTGTCGTCATATTTAGGAGCAAAACAGTTACGCCAAGACTTCGGCCAATGGGTATAAACACAATGTACGAGATTGTACTAGGTCAACTACCATTGCCTACACCAGGAATAGGATTCCCAAAACACACACTACTCTCACCAATTGAATTGAGTTTAATGTGTAAAACGTGTCCAAACTATTGGTGAGATTAGTGTGTGTTTCGGATATCCTATGCCTGGCGTCACAACTATTCGCACAATACATGAGCGGACGGACTATAGTCACCACACCGTTAGGTCGACTAAAGGACGAGCCCATACCGGTCTCACATACGCTACCGTTTCGTTGAGCGCCAAACTCTGATACCTAAAGTGCGTGTTCACTAAAACGCCAGACCCTTTGCATGAGCAGGGGTCTGGTATTATGAAAACACCCAGGTCTAAAAGTAGTACTAAAACTTTACCAACTATTTTTCACAGCAATACTTAACTTATGTTTAAATAATGTTTTAATATAATAACATACCATGATCAGACCTTGTATAATTAGTGTCTTAAAAATAATAAGTATTGTACAAAGTAGTGTGTATTATGGTGGAGCCCGACACTATTAATACTACGGTTCAGGCAACCAATGGGAGAGTGAGTATTTACAGTAACAATATACAGTAACCCTTTAGTTTTGCACTGACCCTCACGTGATACCCATGTATTAGAAATTGTATTCAACTCATACTCCCATTGGTTGCATGTGCGGTAGCATTAATAGTGTCGGGCTTAACCATAATACACACTGTAGTATCAAATAAGCAAGGTCCGTGAGAATACAGAATGATAAAAGCGTTCCTAATACAATTTTGTTTGCAAAAATCATCTAAAAATTATAATACAAAATTATATATTTGATTTTAGTACATTATTAAATTTACTAGATATTATACATTAATTCATTATTAATGATAATATATTAATATAATTATATAACATAAACATATATGGAGAATAGAACAATAACTATAAATAATGATAACCCATCTCAATCGAATTGAATTAGACTAAATTATGTTATTATTCACATAATTATTGCGCTAATATTTAATTATTAAAAAATACTTGAAAAATTCAATTAATTAATAATTAAACCAATTAGGACCCCGATGCAATGCATTCTCATTCCCTGTCATCCCAATCATATCCCCGGCAATTAGGTGGCAATAGTTGGCTATTGATCTACGAATACGTCAAAAGATATCGATATAATGTGTCGAATAATATGAAATTCTCGCCATTCATGAGATGAAGAATATTCGGGGAATGAATCGAAAAATATAGCGAATTCGAGTTAATATTGTAAGCCTATTAGCATGCTATTTATAATTTTAAACAATAAATTTACATTATTACATTAACTTAAGTTTTGTGACATTTTCCAATAAATAATAGTACTTACCAACATAAATGACACATTCTCATAAATCAATTGTCACATTATATAAAAAGCACCCATCTGACCTAAATAAACATCTTACGTCACAATGGGCTTTGTGTGAGAGAGTCTATGCTACGTGTAACATTATGTAAAGCACTGCTATATAAACGCGTGCATCTTATGCTAAACGTGCAGTTATATGTGTAGTGCTCTCCTATGCACATTACTTTATGTATTTGCTATTTAATGTATTTCAATAAAATATAAATTGTCCTCTTGATTTAATTGTATTTATTTAACAAATTGTTCCTGATAAACGCGCATACCTTCAGTAAATTAAAGTAGCAAGCTAATATTTCGTTTGGCGGAGCCGGGTGGCCACCACACCCCCACCCGTAGCTCACAATATCAGACTATGTTGAATACTGTTATTCTCAAAGCCATATTAAACCTTAGAAACGTATATAATTGAAAATGGTCATCTCACCTGGCAAATGTATGATATGTCTAAATATAATAAATATGAATTATAATAAATGATGTTCATTTAATGAACTAAAAACATACAGTAATATGACATTATTTAAATATTTAATATTAATTTATGCATAAGTGGTTATTCTATAACGTATGTAAAAACATATGAAAAATCTTTAGTTTTCAATCATAAGATAATTTTCATAAAAATTTTGAATGAAAAACTTGTTTTCGTTTTGAAGAATGAGTTTTAGTGTGGAATCCAATAGAAGATTAATTTTGAGACAATTCTTATGAATAGACCATAAGTTATATTCCGATAATACTTGTGAACACTCGGGTCTGTCTGTCCAATGAGGGCCGGGTATGTCCGGGTAATCAAAGTTATAATATGACATTGAATGCAGTACTTGTGTTAATTTAAGCACACATTTGTTCACAATCTCATTGTATGAATACATTTCTAAACTAAAGAATATATTCAAATAAATTAAGACACAAATAATTTAAATATTAATTCTCATTAACATACAGTTCGTCATCCAAATTAATACCAAAAATATCTTTTTCTGCAATTATAGCCAGACTGTAGACATCTATCTTATGGTTATAGTCCACTTCCTGACCCACTTCTGGCGCCTGATATCCCAGGTCTCCCTTATATGACGAGTGCTGGTGAACAGTAGCCAAACCAAAGTCACAAATTTTGAAAAACCTGCCGTTCCTTACAGTCTTAGCAACTAATATATTGCCGGGTTTAAGATCTCTGTCAATGACCGGAGGATTCAATTCATGTAAATATTGAACGCATTCTAAGATCTCTTTGAATATATGACACGAAATGTAAAACTC